ACGCTGCTCTGTCTCTATCTTGTTTTTCTTTGTCTCTCTCTCTCTTTTTTTTTTTCATTCTGCTTTTTTGGCTGCACACACAGACAGTTACCCTTTACCCTCCTGTCCTGTGCACAGGAATTCATGCACAGACGCACACAAACACAGACACCCACACACATCTCAGCCGGTCCTCTGCCAGTCAGTCCCTTCCTGCTGCTATTGTAACACAGCTCACAGTTCTCCTTTCTGTCTGGGCTGCTGCTGCTGCTGCTGCTGCTGCGAGAGGAGGAGGAGGAGGAGGAGGAGGAGGAAGATGTGTGCGTGAGGGTGTGTTCGCGAAAAAAACCCCCCTCAATCCCATCACAAGTTTTGAGTCGCTCGGTTCGGTGTCCGCTCTTTGGATGTATGGCTCCTCTGGTTAGAAGGACATAAACATGGTGGACATGTACTCCAGGGCCTGGTCCAGTCATCAGGCCAAGCGGGGTCTGACTCTGCCGGTGGTTCCTCAGGTAGGCGATCCCCCTGGCTTCATCAAGGCAGCTTTTTATTATTATTGCTGCATTATTAAAGTGTAAAATGCTCGTACAGTATAGCTGTTTTACTTCCTGTTTTTTTAACGCGCCTCCTCTGCACTCTTGTTTTCCTTTCCTGTGTTGAGTAGTAGTGAACTGACAGCACCGTGCCGTGTTGAACTTTTTTTATGTTCTGTGCTGGAGAGCAGTGTTAAAAATCTACATGTTCAGCTTGAAAAATGCACTTTTTTTAATATAACATTGAACCGGAAAACTCGGTGTTCACCAGTTGAGGGCTGAAGTTCGCAGTTTTGTTCACTAGCAGCGAGTTTTTACATCAAAACAGCCACATCAGAGACAGGTGTCACCTTTAAACTCACGCTGATACAAGAGGGAGATGAGAAAACCTGCATCAAGTGCAAAAACTTGTATATTGAATACGGAAAATCCTCAAGTAAAAGCACCGACGCTTTAGTTCAGAGAGTAAAGCACCTGCATTCGACTGAAAACGCTGAAGTGTTGCGAGCGAAATGTGGAAAATGTGAAAAGTGAAAGTCATAGTGCGATGCTTTTTTGAGGAACAGTGAATATTTTGGAGTTAAAAGAGGTCACCAGCCACGCAGGTTGACAATCAGGTTGATTTTTGGCACTTTTGTTTATTTTCACGAGCGTTTTATATGTTAAAAATGTGAGACGCGGTAATTCCAGCTGTCAGATGTGAAGTTATTCCTTCATTAAGTCCTGCAGGGAAATTAATTCTGTGCATTTAACCCACCACTCTGACTATTGGGAGCAGCTGGCAGCCTCCATGGAGCTGTACGCCAGTATTCTGGTCAAGGACACTGTGGAGAATTAACTTAAATGAATGTAAACTACAGTATTTCTGCACGTTCTCCGCTGCATGGAGCCGACACAAGTGCATGCTAACAGATCACGTGTTTGTTGCCGTGTCTGCCTTTGTGTACACGCTGTTGTCCTTTCATTGCATGCAGTTGAGTTTCAGGAGTTTGTTCCATTCCAGAGAAGCTGTTTCAGAGATCGATCGCGCAGCTGTTTCATTTCCTCTGCCTCTCCGTGTGTTTGTGGTGTGTCGTTTGGAATCAATCTGCTTTGGGGTCATTCGTCTGGTTGTCCCCATCGATTGCCTCCTGATTATATTGAAATCAATAGTGATGCCAAGTTAGCAAAGTGATAGCGCTGAATAGCCGGCAGTGCAGACCCCCCCTCCTCCCTAGGTCGGCTATATTCTGTATTTTATTCACCTTAATCGGCTTTTATCTTCATTTCGGCATGTTTGCGAGAGTTTTTCCACAAAATTGGAATACCGCAATGTTAAAATATTCAGTGACGAGCGAGAATCCTGCACATTCAGTTCTAGTTGTATTGAAAGCTAAGCTACTCAGAAATGTTCTCCTTTGTGATAATAATCGTGCAATACGAAAGCACCACTTTGATTACTATCAGACTATGAAAAGCAGCGTACTATTGTTGTAGTTAAGCGATGTGATGCAAATGATAACTGAATTTACTGTGCAGCACTTCCAATTTCATGAAAACATACGACTACTCTATACCTATCATTGATTCTTAAAACTATATTTTCTTAAAATAAGTGAAAAAATCAGCCAGTGCACCTCGATACCTGTTAAAAACCTGCAGATTGCTACGCTGGAATGATAAAAAGGCACTTTTTTTTGATGTACAGTGAAAACAGGGTAAAATATCATTACCACTTGTCATACTTTTTGTTTTTTAAAGAAAATCAGAGCTATGATCTGATGTTTTGAGATTATCACAGATTATGATCACTGTTGTAGTTTAGCAAAGTGAAGGGATAACTGCATTATTTTGTAGTCTACCTCGCAAAACATCTGATTACATGAAGACGTACTGTATCTCTGCGTCTATAATTGACTCTTACAACCACATTTTAGTCGATTAAGTGGAAACAAAAATTGCCAGTGCAGCTCAAAACCTGTGAAATCTTGCAGGTGACTCCACTAGAATTATAAAAAATGCAACTTTTTCAAAGAAACTACTGGATTTACACTGAAAACAGGTTAAAATATCATTATGACAGGGTCATGTCTTTTGCTTTTAAAGAGAAAATCTCACTTTAAAACTCATTTAGACCAACAGGACTTGATAAGAAGTCATGTGGACTGAACAATTTTTATAGTGAAGCATTTGTTTTCATGAAAAATCTGTACAGCTCCATCTGTCAGGTAAATGTAGTGCAGTATTTGCCTTTGAAATGTAGAGGAATACCTCAAACTCTAACTTAAATACAGTCCTAGAGCCCTCTCCGGCCCTGCCTGTTGGCCTCTACAACATGCTTCTCCTTCACAGCGCTGCATGTTCATTACGATGATGAACGGATACAACACGGACTTTAAATTTAGACCAAGAGTCTAGCTATGAGACAAAAAAGTAGTTAGAGTGCAGTCTTAAACAGAGACGGACGAACCTCTCTTCTTATTTGTGCCGCCGATTATGGCTTATAAAAGGCTGTGCAGGATGATAACTCTCAGGAGCCACAGGGAGAAGGATGGACGCCCCCGTGGAGAACAGGTGAGAACACAACAACTCAGGGAAAAGTTTTTTTTTATATTTCAAGCGCAGTGGTTGGTGCAACACGCTGGTTTCGGCATGACAGAAGCAGCCTTTCATCACTCGCTTTCGAGCTCTTAAGCAAATGAGTTGTGATGAGCGGCTCTGCTTTGCATTTCGTGTTCCTGCCGGGCGCAGCGAGTGGAATCATGTGCGACGCTCTTCATGAAAACATGAGGCGGAGGATTCAGCAGCAGCTTCCCTTTTCGCACATGCTACCAGCTTTGTCTTTGAGAGCTTTTTGGTTTTTGTTTTAGCACAGGCAGGACAACAAGAGCAGAGTTAATGCGTGATGGAAGTGGTGAGGTTTGACCCTCTGCAGTTGACCTGTGGTTTTGGTTCAGTTTTTATTTTTGATACCGCACGAAATGCAACAAAACACACCACAGTTTGACTCATGATCTGCTCTGGCAGGAAGTTATTAATACAGACATGAACTTTGGGCATTGTTTTCACATTAAAACAATGTGTGAGGCGGCGTTTGTGCACAAAAAGTGAGTCTAGAATTAGGCATTGATCATCTCTGTGGGAGGAACACCTCTGTAGTGTGTGTGTGGTGTGTGTGTGTTTTTGTTTTTTTTTTTTAGCTGTAGGCTGCTTCCTGTGCTCTGTAAGATGCGGAAGACTGACTTATAAAGAGCTGTAGTATGAGCAGTGAAGGCTGAAGGCAGGTACACTGAAGTGACTGAAGGTTCAGAATTCATCATTGCAAAAACACACACGCCCAAAGCTGCTGCAATAACTTTATATCCTGTACAGAAGATTTACTGCACTGTAGTGTTCCTACATTGTCCAAAAAATTATCTGGCAGCATGAAAAATTTTTTAGAAAACTGCTGTAACATTCAAAAGCTTTAAAAGTTGTGAAAATAACGAAGTATCTGTTATAAAAAAAAAAAAGATATTTGCAGGTGATTTAAATAAAGTTAATGGAGGTTTATGGTTTGAGTGGTTTTTGATGTGGAAGTTATTGTTGAAACAGTCAATATGTAAATTAATACTTTCTTTCAATGGTTTTACAAGATGTTGTCTTTAATCTAACAAACAGTTTAGAGAATTGCCATTTTTCAATCTTTAATAAATAGAATTTTTCTTTTGAATTGAAGCAAATATCTGTAAAATATTTTTTATTTATTTAAATACAATAAAAATGGTGTCATTTTTTGGGTGAACATTGCTAAAAGAATGAATCATCATTTATAAAAATACAGATTTTTGATGTGGACATTATTTAATTTGATTGAATTTCCCTTCTGGGATAAATGAAGTATTTTTCATTTCATTTACAGTTTTGGCCCTATTTTCCCATCAACATGTCAATTAATGCATAATTAATTAATTCAATTATTAATTAATAACTTACAGTTGTGGCCTCTTTTTTTTTTTTTTTACATTCTCTCCTGTCAGTCAACAGGTGCATTAACATGTTTTAATTTTATTTTATATTATTTAATTTAATTTAATTTAAATTATTTTTTTTACATGATTTTACTAAATATCTACAATTGTACAAAACAGGGAAAATCTGTAAAATAACATATTTAAAAATGATTTGCCATTTTTCAACACTAATATGCAGATTTTTTTCTTCGGGTGAAATAATATTTTTGCTGAGTTAAAAACAGTGAAAAAAAAAGAAATTTTATGGTCAAACACTGTAGAAGAATAAATAAGCATTAATTAAAAAACAACTCATGGGGACTTTATTCGTAGTTTTGGCCGGTTATTATCTGGTTAACGTGTAAATTAATGTGATTTGTTTCTGTGATTTGACTTGTTGTTAACACAACAGGGAACATCTGTAAAACAACAGTAAAATGTTCAGGGAATGACCGTTAAAAACTGTTGAAAAACACAACTTTTTATACATGTGCATTTTTTGTTCCCTTTTCCGCAGGTGGAGAATGCAAACCTCCGGTCGGCCGTGTACGTCAATGTAGCGCAGCTTCGCCAAAGCATCTCCGAGTCTCCCCCCTCGGCTCCCTCGTCCTACTCTCCCTCCTGCCTCGACCCGGAGGGCTGGGAGGTGCACGTGGACCAAGACAGCGGTCAGGAGTACTACTACCACCCGGCCACGGGGCGCACCACCTGGGACAACCCCTTCCTAGACTCCCCCTCGGACCTCGAGCCACCCCCAGCAGAAGAGCCCTTCACCCCCTCGCCTCCCCAGTCTCCCGCCCTCTCTCGGTCCACCGCCTCCCCCCCTGCCAGGGCCTCCGACTGGGAGCAGCTGGTGGATGAGACCAGCGGCCGGCCGTACTTCTACAACCCGATGTCTGGGGAGACGTCCTGGGAGCCTCCAGAGCAGCTGAGCCCGTATCCCCCGCTGATGGAGCCCATGAGTGTGCACAGGTTTCATGAGGACGGGCCGGTAAGGCTGCTCCACTTAGCCTCGCTCTGCCTCCTGTTTTAGCCTCACCCAGGGGAAAGCTGTAAATACAGGCTGCTTTTAATGGAATTAAATCTCCTGCACCTACATAGCAGGCAGGACTCATTTTCATTAGGAGAGCTCACAGCACCAGTGCAGAGCAGGACTTCCTGCTAGTGTCCCTCTCTGTGAAAGAACTGAAGCATCTGGCCTCATTCTGAAGCATCTTCCTCGTGTAGCATCTTAAAATCTTTGGAGAATTCAGGGGAAATAATCAAACTACAAATCGATCTCTTGACACACATTCCCACTACCTCATACTTTCATATTCTGAGTACTTTTTGTTCCCGACACAAGCAGCGAGTGACCCAGTTTGTTCCCCTTGAATGACTTTCCTGAGCCGGAGCAACGGCATTAATGGGCCAAGAAAGAAGAATACTTTGAGGCCACGGAAGTGTTGGGACTCATTTTTGAAAGTCAGAGAAAAGTAATTGAGCTTGGTATCGGGGTCGCGGCGGGGAATTCTTCAGCTGACGTGATTCAGAGCAAACAGAACTTTTATTAAAGGGAATGTTTTGATAAGTTGCAACTCGCAGCTGATTGTCTTCAACCAAAAAGTTAAAGTCCAACTATGGACCTGGTTTAAAGCTTCAGAGGACTCCAGAGCTGAAGTGTGCAAAGAGAGAGTCTCCAACATTCACCCTGTCAAACCACTAATGATCAGTTTAACACTTTGCTTCAACTTTGTCACGTCGCTCTTGATTATTTGTCACGTTTCAAACAACAGATGCTGATCCAAATCGCTCTCCAAAAGAGAAACATGACTGACGATTCAAAATAACCAACCAGTTTTAAATGCAAGGTTAGGACCCTATAAAATTACCTCATATATATATTTACCAGATTCTACAATATTCTATGAAATCCAAATCTGCCATTACAATTTAAATGGTAATTTTAGGACCCTACAATATTGTTCATTATATGAAATTACCTGACAAATGTATACATTAAAGTTAAAAGCCTACAATATTATTTGTTATATAAATGTACCCAAGTATTTTAAATATAATGGGTAAAGCCCAGTGTTATTTATCACATACATTTTCCTGACAAATTTAAACATTAAGTTTAAGAAAATGTAATATTTACTTTATAAATATACCTGAATGATTACTTTATTAACATTAAGCCCTTACACTATAATACAAAGTTAATGTTAATAATTTAAATATTAATTTTAAGACACTGTAATAATACTTATTCTATAAATGTACCCAACCAATTTAAATATCAAGATTATTTCTTATAGTACCATATCTGACAAATTAAATATGAAGGTTTAGAAGGTTTAGACAATACTATATATATATATATCATACAAATTTACTAATTTAAATACTGAAATTAAACCCCTACATTATCATTTATTATACAAATTTACCAAGAAAAGTTAAATATTGAGGGTAAGATCCTACAATATTATATATAATACAAATTGACTTTATTTATTTAAATATGCATTTTAATACCAGCTATATTATTTACTATAGAGATGTATAATAGTAATTTGAATATTAAGATTAAGGCTGTAGTTTAATATTTTACCAAAAAGACACTAAAACAATTTCAATTTTGTCGTCTGCGTTGTGGCAAGAAAGTCAAAACTTGTGCATTTCCCAAATCTTTAATGATTTCTAGTTCATTTGCACTTTTTTTCTTCATCACATCTTTTTATTTTTTTGTTTTTTAAAGTTTTTTGGAAACTCTGGAGAGTTCCGCCTAGGGGTTCCTCCTGGAAGAGCTGGGGGAGGTGTGTGCGGATCGGGAAGTCTGGGCAGCTTTGCTAAGGCTGCTGCCTCCATGACCCGACTCCAGATAAGCGGGAGAAGATGGATGGATGGATGGATGGATAACACTCCAAAAACTACTAAATCAGAATATATGAAAAGAAAGCGTCACTCTCTAGTTAACCTGTCTCCAGCTCTCGATAAAGCCGTGATGAAGATAAATCAGTGAGCCACAATCTGTGACTTCATGTTTGGATTCATGTCTTCTAACCCTCTCTGTTTCCCCCTCAGCCTCCTCTACCGGAGGAGGACTACCCCTCGGAGGACTACCCAGCGTCTGACCCGCCGGAGTCCTACGAGGACCTCCTCGCCACCGGACCTCCGACGCTCCCTAAAGAATACGCCCTCGGTCATGTCACCCGGACCGTCATCCCCCGGGCCAACCTGGACCGAAGCACGCCGGCGGGTTGGAACCTGACGGTGGAGCCCTGCGGGACCTGGGTGTTCACCAGCGACAGCTCTCCGGATCAGGTAAGGCCCCAGCTGTAGTCAGAGCAGAGGTGGATGACATCGAGCAACACATTCCAGCCGAGCGACCGTGACGTTTGAAAGTATTTTTAGTGTCCCTCGGAGGTCGTCTGTGATTGTTTTGATGTCAGTCTAATAGACTCAAAGCACAAGGGGCTCCGTCTCCTCTCTCATTAACTATAGAGCCACGACAGGAATAGAGCGAGACAGAAAATGTCAAATGCTGCTTACTTTCACCTCCACACACACGTGTCCAGAACTAATATCACCATGAAACATCTCCTGCTGATTACTTTCACTAAGACAGTTACACTTTTTATGGTCGTTTTCTGAGCTGTTGTATTTAAATATGGACAACTTTTGTTTCCAGAGCTGTCCTATGATGTGGATTATGGTTTATTTTTTTAAATTTAATTTCATTTTTGTTTCTCATTTTTCATGTCTTTATATAAGAACACTCAGTGAGCTTTTAAATTGCCCCTAGGGGATAAATAAAGTTATTCAAATTGAACTGAATTGAATTGAATTGAAATATGCAAATGACGTATTATCTCATGAAGATATATCTCTTTTTATTTTTATCATTCTATTAATTAGGAAATACTGTAAACAGCCGTAAAATGACACATATAAATCAGGCTGGAATATATATGTGATTAAGCCCCTCTGTAAAAAAACAAAAACAAAAAAAAAAACCCTTCAGAATATAGATTGGAATAAAAATTGAAAGTTTGATATATGTACGTGCGACTGGAGATTTCTAGCTCAGAATAAGAGTCATTCTGAGAAATCGCCATTTGAAAACATGTTTTTTTAAATTCCATGCACATTCCAGTGACTGTGAGCAACGAGCCTGGTTGAGCTACGAAAACTGTCGGATGAAGTTTGAACGCTGGGAAAGTGTGGAGGGTTTCAGACAGGAGGTGTTTTTTTTTGTACTGCATTACCTCATTTTCCATCACTATGAAGGAAATGTTCTATTGTTGACTTTTTCAGAATAGACTGTGAGAGAATAACTCTATAGACTTTTCTGCAGGGCTTTTTGCTTTGCATAACATTTTAATCAGGAAGTGCTTTAACAGTTGTGTTGTATTGCTGCCTGTCGCTGCATTACAATGACAATAGAATCTCTAATTCTGGTTTAAAGTGCACCAAAACAACGACAAGTAGTAGTTACTAGATATAACTGTTGTGTTTTACGTTGTCTGTGGTGATGTTAACTGCTACTCGACAAGGATAAAGAGCAGAAAAAAGTGTGTTTGTTGTCCACTCTGAGTTTAGTGAATCGCTTTTGAAATATTTAACCTGAAGTAGATGCTTAATCTCCCCCAAAAATGACCCGTTTTCTTGATTTGAAGCTCAACAGTGTGCAAAATTGCTTAAAAATTGCACAGGCAGCCTGAAAATAAGTAAATTCTCCAAAAACAGTTGCATAACCCCAGTAGATAATGATGCAACTATGTGGGTTTTGCTCTTTTTTGGCATGAAAATTACACATTAGTACTGATTCTTCCTTATATAAATATATAATAACAACACTGCACCTATCTGTATATTAAAGAAACAAAGGTATTGCGCAGATTCTTCCTTATATCAGTGTTTCTACTTATGGCACAATCTCTGCATGACCATTGTGTCTCAGTATATATAACCACATGCAGTATCATTGTCCACACCCAGAGGAGTCTGTGCAGCGTCTGAATTTCCACATATGTTTGGTTTCAATTATTGTTGACTGAGTTTTCCGCACTGTGGGTTTCATGAAGGCTTTTCTTATCTATGGAAAATCTCTCGATAAGAGGTTCTTTTATACCAAAGTCTTGCCTAGATGAGGAGCTTTTAAAGCCACATGAGATCAGGAGTAACCAAAGCAGATAAAATACTTTGGTTTTTTCCATTATTTTTTGGGGGCATTTTGCCAGGAGAATGTGGGGAAATAGAGCAGGGGGATGACACGCAGTAAAGGAGACTCACGGCTTGGAGGCATTTGTGCCCATGTGGCGCGCTCCCTAAACACTGAAGCTTTCTTTAGTTTGAGCCGATTAGTGTCTTTTAACGAATACATTTTCCTTTGTTTGACAGTGGATCAAGTCCATGGATGATCGGGGGCAGACCTACTACTACCTGAGAGATGGCTCCAGGTCTCAGTGGAACCTGCCCGAGGTAAAGACCCTTCACTGATTGACTTTTTTTTGCTAAAGGTTTGATTTTGATTGATTAGCTGTCAGATAAATGAGGTTAGTGGGTTAAGTCATGAAAAAGGAGTTTCCCCTTTTGTTCTTGATGTACAGTAGATGCCTATATGTATAATTTAGGAGGCAAAACCAGCTTAAAGTCTGGTTTAAATTGTCTTTATCATGCCTCAAGTGTATCTTTTTGTCATTTTAAGGTTAAATTAAGGTGTGTTTTGTCCATCCAGGTCCCTGTATGTGCCGGTCAGTCCAGGGTGGAGAACGGCGTCGAGGCGGAAAATGTGTCCGTCATTAAAAACTGGAGACACACCATGGGACCAGCTCAGCTCGGCCCTGCCCAGGATGATGGGGTACGCGTTCAAACTAACTCAGACCTGCACGTACACGCACAGGCTGCATCACGTATCCAGGGTGTGTCAGCCGACTGAGGCGGCGAGCTTTAGCCAGGTTTGATCCCTGTTTGACAACCAACACGACGAGGCTTTTAACCCTTATTTAGCAATTCAAATCAACTGCACGGCCGTCGTATTTACAGAAACAGCCCGAGGACTGAGGGAGTGGGGAGGGATGTATTTGCACAAGTGCTTCGGAGTTCCTGGATACAAATAAGGGCTTGTTGCTTTCTCTTTTATTGCCGAGCAACTCAGTGGTAGCAGTCAGGGGTACAACACCTTTGCTCAAGGGCACAACATGGTCCTTCGTCAGTGGAGGAGCAGAAACCGAGAAAGTCGAGTTTAAGGACACGCCTATTGGTCATAAAGTCTGTTTGTATTAACATAAAGAATGCAAGTGATTGTTAAAATTAAAAATGAAAGCAGTGGAGGTGTTTTGAAACAGATTTCTTTTTTATTTTTGTTTGTAAAGCATCTGACACATGAAGACAACACAAAATAAGAATACATTTAAATATATAAAAATACTAAAGCCAAAGGAAAGCAGGCAAAGTGTTGATTCTGACAGTTTGTTACACAACAAGCTCTCGTGGCAAACATTTGACCCTGTTTAAGATATCACACTAACATTTTCCTTATTGATCACTTACATGAGGTAATATTATATAAGAAATCATTTTCAAAATATGTTATTTTTATATTTTATTTTTTGAATAATAATAAAATAATTTTGTATATTTTTTTATTTTGTTTATTTTAAATATTAATTTTAAGACCCTATAATTTTATTAATGCTATAAGTTTACCCAACCAATTCAAATATCAATTTAAGAACCTAGATTATTATTTCATATAGTACTGTACCTGACAAATTGAGTATAAAAGTTTATTTTAAATTAGGTATTGTCTCCCATAATATAAATATGCATTGGGGACATGTTTGATATGTCTTTGTGTCACTCTGTTAATTAAAAAAACACTTTCAACAGCCAGAAAGAACTGATTTTTGTCACGTTTGAAGGAATAAAACAATGTATTTTATATTCTATAGGAATATATAAATGATGAAACGATATATAAAGGAATGATGTATGATTAAACCCCTCAACCTTTCAAATAAAGATAGAAATAAAACAGGAAAGTCTAATATTTTTAATTGCAGCTGAAGAGGAGATTTCTCGCTCAGAGTAGGAGGGAAAAAAAATAATTTTGAGAAAACGCCATTTAAAGATATGTATTGTAAAACTCCATGAATTATTTATTTTATTAAAAAATGTATGGATAAAAATTGTAACTAATATTTCAATTTAATTCTTTATTTCGAACATTTAAAAAAAATATATAATAGAGAAATAAAATAAAAAAACAATAAGACTTCATGGATATGTATGTAATATATATCACAATCAAATTTTCACATGTGTTTACTTACAGTACAACAATTTTTTTTTTTCATGTTTAAATATGCACCTCTGGTTTTATTGAGTTAAATATCACATAATTTGCATCATTTCCTGATGAAAATATGTAATAAAATACACATTTAAATGTATATTTTCTACTGAAAGGAAACATGTTATTGAAGCAAAAAATGCCCCAAATCTCCAGTTTTTATTTTACTTTTTTTTTTATTTCATCAGTGCTCATTATTAAACGTTGCTTTCAATGTGCTGGAATTAGCAAAGAAGCTTTTTTTAAAATTTTTTTTTAAATCTATCTCTTTAACAGATGGCATAGGGTCACCATAAAAACATAATGTAAGAATATTAGATTAAGACGACCAAGTTGCTGAAATCATTTATAGGAAATGAATATAAATGTTAGTATGAGTAAAAAAAATACACCCAGTTATATTACATTTTCAGATATTATGCAGCGAAGAAGCACATAATCCAGGACATGTAAACCAACGAAGTGGTGACAGTTAGTGTAACTCTTGTCTGTGTATTCAAATCTCAGGTTATTCCTTTAAGCTGCATTTCTGATGCTCTGGTATAGTTTTATAAAGTCAAATGTCAAAATCTGTCTTTCAGAGGTTCGTCCCGACTCACAGGAGGAACACGTCCGACTACAGCAGCGACAGCTCGAGCACAGGAAACTCTCCGGAGACGCAGCACAATGTGAGTTTATGCCGCCGGTCCGGTCCAGTCGTGATCCTGGATCAGCCGGAGAACATTTTAACCATGAAACGCTGTGACCTGCCCTCATGTCTGAACGCTGCTCTGTGTCTCTCCTTCAAGGCTTTTGGGTTTAGACCCTGGAGAAATCCTTACTATCTGACCTCCAGGTGGCTGCGCTATAACGTGGGTTTTATACTTCACATGAGCTCGATCCATAGATAGCTGCGTCTATCTATGACGGGCGAAAGGTGTGACTTCAGATCACTTAAGGAGCATCAAATGTTATGTCCATTTAAATCACCCAGTCGCTCATACATGATGTGGTCAATTTTTTTGAATTATGCAGCTTTCCAGCTTTAATGTGCCGAATAGAGTTCAGTCTTGGCCTCAATGTAGCTCCAGAAACGCCAACTGTACTGTATAATGTACATTAAAAGACCAGTCTGGTGATATTCAACATTTTTCTCGGTGTAAGTTATCCCCATGAAAATACCGAAACCAGCAATTAATGGATCCTTCTATCAAGTATTTACCATTCAGCCGATGTGCAAACTACATCACAGCTTCAAGGGGAGTTCACATATACAATGAAACACTTGATTTAACTTTTATTAAATAAGAAGATGAATAATAAAACAGATTTAAAGTAGCTGCTGGATTTCAGCGGAGCGTAAGCTTTCATTTACGGCAGTTGGCATTAAGAAAGTGAATTGTTTCTTTCTGATCGTCAACTTAAAAGGAGTGAAATTTCTAATATTTCACTGCCACGCTTTTGTGGTGTTGAAAAGAATAGTTTGTATAACTTTGTTAAAGTGAATTACTGATGAACCGTCTTACATGATGAATGTGAATCGTACACAATAATAGCTTAGTTCTGCACATGGTCTATGATGATTTAAAAACTCCTCAGAATCTTCATAGATTATGTTTTCAGGCTCATGTTCTCTGTCGTTCATAAACTGATGCTTCAAAACTGACAAAGGCACATATGAGGGTCACACTGTTGTATGCAACACACAACGTGGTTTATTTTGAATTAATCCCATATAAACTGTTAAAAAAATAAATAAAAATGAGGGGAGAATCTGGCAGCAAGGGTGGCAAAAAAAAGAGCTGTAAATGATGATGAAAATAATGGCAAATATCTGTAAAATAATTATGTGATTTAAATACTGTTGAACAGTGTCAATTTTAAGGTCACACACAATTAATATTTGTAAAAATACAGATTTTTGATGTGGACATTATGTACAGTTCTTTTTTTTTACAATCACATTGTAAATTCATACCATTTTCTGTGATTTTTACTAGATATTATTCGTATTTTAATAAAACAGGATAAATGTGTAAAATACCAGTTAAAAACCATTTAATATTTTTTAGTCCTTAATATAAATATTTCCTCATATTAACAGCAAATATCTGTAAAATAATAGTATATTTTTGATATTTAAAACAACAACAAAAATTATAAATTTATTATCAGACGTTGTAAAAGAACAGATTATCATTTGCAAAAATATAAATAGATATTATTTAGACTTTTTTGTTGTAAATAATATCTATTTATTGTCTTTTTATTAACCTGTATATGAATATGATCTTTCTGTGATTTTAGTAGTTATTTGTAATTTAACAAAACAAGTAAAATTGTATAAAACAGGAAATTGTTTTAAAAAAAAAAATTACAGTTCCTCTGCTGTAAATGTTCACCAGTAAATACACTATTTCCTCCTACTTTAGTGACTTTATTAAAAACTACAGGGGCAGGCTGTTTTGCGGTTTTGTTTTATTACTGAGCCCTTTTTTGAAAAATGAAATTAATCAGATGTTGTGATTGAGCCTGAGGCTGGCTGTCCCACAGGGAGATGAAGTGATTTTTGACATCAAGACTGAAGCCCTGTTCACACGGGACTAGAGTTACCTGAGGACCTCCAGTAATTTGTAATAATTGCAGAGGCTGTCTGTGATCTTAATCCCATGTGCATCTGCCTCATTCTTAATGTGTAAAGTAAAAATTTCAGTGCAAATGATCTGTCATATTTCAACAAACGCCGAGGTGAGGCGTTATGGAGCTTGCATTGGCAACTATAAATGAAAGTTTGCAACCAAAACATCATTTTGGGTGCAAATAACATGCTCAATGGTTATAATATGGCACCTGGTTAATTTGATATCTACAGATAACGTCAGTAAATTTAAGCAAAACACAAATTTGACATACAAGTCAGGTCAAATTTAAAGCACAATTAAAACAACAGGAGTTGAATCAAAGTGCTGTACAGTTATAAATAGCAACCAGTAAGACATAAACACGATGATGAAAAGACAAAGAAAGATAAAAACAATAAAATATAGAAAAGTCAAAGTCACAACACAACAACAGATAGAGTCAAAGGTATCAATGCCATAGAGAGGAAGTGGTCTTCAAGAACATCTGGTTTTTGGACCTCAGTGCTCTAACTGGAGGATTAAAATGTAAAACGTTCTGCTAAATAAGGAGACACAGACATGTGGAGGTCATTTCTAAATCACATGGGATCCTCAAATAAAACTGTCCAGTGGGAATAGGGCTGAACATGTTGGGTCTTTTTGTGGATTTAAAAAAAAATCTAGAATATAACCAGCTTTAAGCGCAACAAACTTTTTATTCAACTGTATTTTAAAAAAGAAATAATCATAGTGATGTTGAATTAAACTAAAACTACACATAAATCAGTCAGAATTCACCAAATAATCAAAAACTTTTAACTTCCTCACCTTTTTCAAGACTCCAACTATGATTTGAACCTCAGACATATGATTGAATCCAACACCTTTTACAATATGAGGCACGTATGCAGTCGAATCTTAAAGTAAAACTTGGTTTTCCTTAAAAATCGTTGTTGTTTTACATCTGTTGCAAAACGCATGACTGTTCAAATAACCCAAGTTTGAATCTGGGGACACAATTTACAGATTGGCTTGTAGAGGAACACCTCCCCTATTTGATATGTGACAAATGCACACTTTAAAACACAACATTTGTCATCTATTAGTGTACCTCCTGTAACGTACAGCTTTGCATTTATTTACAAAACTCTTGAATATTCACATTCATATTTAAGTCATCTACTGTGATTCAACTTATATATCAAAGGCCCACAAATGCAACACATCTTTTATTGTCATTCTAGTCTTGTGTTGCTGCTAAAGATTGGAATTTGTCACAAAAAAAGCGCGCTAACATGTGATAAATTCATCTCACTCACTGCTTTTTCAAGGTCTGCATATGAATATCTATTTGATTAGTCGTTTGTTCTTTTATTCATTCTTTTTGTTTGTTTGTTTGCTTTTGTCAAGCGTTTTCTGTCCATTGTAGGATGAAAGTTAAACAGAGAAAAAAATGTCTAGATGAATAATTATGACACTTGTGTGTGTTGTAATGCCAGGGTGTGGCTGTGAATGCTGTTTAACATGATCTGTATGCATGACTTTGTGCTCAGCATCAGAACTTCATGTCCCTCATGTCATCACATCCTGTTATTTAACTTTACACATGAGCCTAACAAATATATAACAAAGAATTAAAATGTTTTTTTTTTGACAACTTCAGGTGCAGAACTTGGAAAAAGCTGGAATTCTCAACAAAACAAAAGTGTCTGAGAATGGAAAGAAAGTAAGGTGAGCCAAAAAGTGCCTTTTGAAGTCTGTTGTTTGCTACAGGTTCGACTCTCACGTTTCAGCTTTTGAGTTTGGAGTCATGTTGCTGCGTGAGTCACGGTTATTCCCTTATTTCAGGAAAAACTGGACCCAGACGTGGACGGTTCTCCACGGAGGCGTGCTGACGTTCCACAAAGACCCCAAATCTGCAGCAACGGGGGCCTCGGTACGCATTGTGTTAGCAACAGAAACGCTCACGGTGGAGGAAAGCGCTCAATCTGGGATCAGAAGAAGCTGCAACGCCTGATTTAGCTCATTTCTGTGCATTCATGATGGGGATGTGAACGGGTCAGAAGCTGCACGCAGGATTTATCACTGTTGTCTTTCTCCAACTTATAGTTCGAATACTTTTTCACCTAATTCACACCTGGGTTTTGTGTTTCACCCCTAAGAAAGGAGAGGAAACACTAAACCTCAGCATGATGCCGGTGGTTGAGTCACCTTTATGTGCAGTGACAGCGCAGACAAGCCCTCGGGTCATGAGCTGACAGGGACAGTCACGGCTTTTGTTATGCTCAACTCATGCATCTTGGAATGCTGCGCCGTCGGTTTCGTAAACAGCTGGACTTTTTTTTTTTTTCTCTCCCTAGAACAAGACCAATCAGATTGTTCCCGAGGTCACGGTGGACCTGCGAGGAGCCACGATTGGCTGGGCCTCGAAGGACAAATCCAGCAAGAAGAACGTCTTAGAGGTGTGTTGGTTTGTTGACAGGGAACACAGAGCGGCGTTATCTCGAGCAAACAACACGTGTGCTTGCGTTTCCTCCTTCAAAGTGCAGCTAAAACATAATCTAACGCTTTCAATTGTGGCGTTAGAATAGCTGCTGTGAGTTAAATGATTAAACAATCAAACAGCGATTTGTGAGTCACATAACTGTTTCCTTTAAGATATGAAAACATGTCAGAATAATTGTCATCTTTAGTCTGTAATTGTCTCTCTTTCAGCTAAAAGGAAGGAACGGTGTGGAGTTTCTGATACAGTATGATACAGAAAGCATCATCAGCGACTGGCACAAAGTCCTAATGGACACCATACGACAGCTTGTAAGTCCTTGTTTTTTTATTAAGATAAGTTAAAATAAGACTTTATTAAGCCAACAGCGGGGAAATTTGTAGAGTTACAGCAGCAGAGGTGATAAAAGGCAAAGTAGAAAACACAAATAAGCATAAAACATGCACAAGCATGGTTGATATTGTACAGATTATTTTGTATGTGGAAAATAATGAGGCCTGCAAGGTGGCTCAGTGGTTAGCACTGTTGCCTCGCAGCTAGAAGGTCGCAGGTTCGCGTCCCGGTGGGGATCTTTCTGTGTGGAGTTTGCATGTTCTCTCCGTGCAGTGTGGGTTCTCTCCGGGTTCTCCGGCTTCCTCCCACAGTCCAGAAACATGTTGAGGTTAATTGGTGATTCTAAATTGTCTGTAGGTGTGAATGTGAGTGTGTTTGGTTGTCTGTCTCTAAGTGTAGCCCTGTGATGGACTGGTGACCTGTCCAGGGTGTCCTCTGCCTTCACCCTAAGTCAGCTGGGATAGACTCCAGCCCCGTGCAACCCTAGTGAGGATTAAGCGGTGTATAGATGATGGATGGATGGGTGGAAAATAATGATATTGCACATGTCTATATATTCAAAAACAATGGCATTGTACAGAGTCTTCCATGAGTAGGAATTCTGATCTTAAAAATACTGATATTGCACAGATTTCTCTGGATGTGGATTGCATATACCTATATATGAAAACATATTGCACAGATCTTCCATAGATCTAAAATACTGATATGAGAAACATCAGAACTACACCACAAAAATAGCACAATAACTCGATTTTGTTTGTAGCTGTTGTGAATTTAGAGATCCGTGTGTATTTTTTGTTTTTGATGCATGAACACTGATACCACACTCTTATCTATATCGATGATGTATGAGCTTTAGTTTTATCTTCTGGCACCATTAATGCTCACTAATCATCACCTTGCATGACCGCTGGTATTGAATACAAAACCCAAACTTAAAAACACAGTTTTCCAGGGTATTTGTTTCACACTTTAGTCAGCTAGACTACCTGATTTCTGCAGCGTTTGAAGAAGCATTCAGATGCTTCTCTTAAGCAAAAGCACCAATACAGTGATGAAAAACATACTCATTAAGAATGCATGAAGAAGCTAATTTAAGTTAAAGCACAAAAGAGCAAAATGTGGTTAAAATATTAAAATGAAGGGGCGCTGCTATAGCTCACCTGGTAGAGCTGGTGTCCCATGTACAGGGCTACAGTCCCAATGTGGAGGTCATGTGTTCGAATTCCGCTCATGACCCTTTCCCACATGTCCTCCCCTATTTTCCTGTCTCTCTCTCACTAACACTATCTAATAAAGGCCAAAAAAATAACTTTAACAAATATTAAAATAGAAGCACCAGTTTTGGCCCTTCTGTAGAGTGAAAATATCAATACAACACTGTAAAAAAAAACACTAGAAAAATCCTAGTTTGGTAAAAGTAGAGCAGTATTAGCAGCAGGATTTAGTTAAAGTATTAAAGTTGAATTACTGGTTGAGTTTCTAGCTGATATATTATTATATATGACATAATCAGAGTCTTAATACGGAAGCATTAGTGTGCCAGCAGCGTGTTGCTACAGGTGAAGCTAGTTTAGACTGTTTTATATCTGGTGTTCAGACAGCAGGTAAATCCTAGAGCTCCAAACATGATTGATGGGAGAGGAAACATTTTTGGATTTTGTTTTTTTTTTATAACTCTTAGGTTTTTATAAGATATTTGATCCTTTAAATGTTTATTAAGGAAGGTAAAAACTCTATTTGGTGGAGCTGTTAACAACTCAGATGTCTGTAATGTGACCCCGACCACACACTGCTTTAATAAGAACATATAAAGGCTGGAAAGTACTGGTTTAATCTTTAACAACTTGTGTTTTTAAAGCTTATTGAATGACCCAAAGTGTAAAATCTTCATCTATAAAGTAATTAAAGCTGTCAGATAAATTAAGTGGAATATTATGTTCCTTTTAAATAAATTGGAGCGGATGTATAATATAGAACAAAATGGAAATACTCAACTAAAGTTCAAGTACTGCCTCTGTAAGGCAGAAAATGTTCCTATTTCTGTCAAACTATTTCTTAAAAACAAGTGTTTTGCCAGTTAATCCTCAACAAAATCCATCTTGTTTCAACAAGTTTCCAAAAGTCTTCTGCACTCAAGTCAAAAGTAATTTTTGAAAATAAGCTAAAAGCGCTTATGTGTCAAGATTGTTCCATGTTTGTGTTTAATTCACCGGTTTTGTGTTCATCAGGAGTATCAGGACATTCATCATCATTCGGATGAGGAGGACGGAGATTTGTACGAAAAGATCAGCCACGCAGAGCGAGACGACAAGCTTGGCGGTGGCATGGACAAGCGAAGATGTAATTTAACTACATTTACCTTCAGTCGCAAAGCAAAGCATGTCTGATTTAACTGTGGCCTTAATGACGCACTCACTTTGACCCAGTTCTATATATCAGCGATCCCCATTGGAGCTGCAATTACAACCGGTTTTAAATGTCTGTCGTTGCCTCTTTAGCCTCCAGGCCGAGCGTCACACAATCGTCCAGCTCTGCAGGAGAAACGGACCCCAAGAAGGTTCGAACCAAACTGATGAAGTTCCTCATGAAGCGTCCGACGCTGCAGTCTGTCAAAGAAAAAGGCTACATCAGAGGTAACGACTGCAGTTCCTCCCTGGTTCATTTGAATAGAAGCAAATGGGGAGGAAAAAAAAAGAAGAAAATCAGCTGGAAATACCCCCTGTTCACTCGACTGATGTTTCTGGTTACATGCACATTTAAATACAAGCTGTTTTGGGTTTTTTTTCCTCCAGTGTACATTTAAGTCTCGTAATAAAACAGTTAATAAACAAAAGAGTTTGGGACATTAAGCATCTGAACCCCAAAAACCTGCTGCTATGTTTGAAAGCACTTTATCTTCCAAAAAATATCACCAAAATGAGACCATTTATCAGAGCCAGCAACTGTTTAAACAGCAAGAAATGTCTAATTTCCAACTCTTTGGTGGTCCTTGAACTACTCATCATGACAACTTAGCCAAATCTAAACTGGTATATATCACAAAAATCATTTTATTCTACATATCTAATTCGCTCCAACCAGGTTCTGTAAAGTAAAATAAAATAAAGTTATATTTAACTTTATTTTATTTTACTTTTACAATAAAATAAAACAAAATAAAATAAAATATTTCATGTTTTTGGATGCAGCCATGAAGCTAATAGTGACTAAGCTGCGACCAACATTCACGTAACAAATATTTTATGACTTTTCAGCTGAACTAGGTTGAACTGCAGGCAAGTATGGAAAGAAATTAATATAATAATGTAATTAATGATAAATATTGGTGTTGGTAACACATGGGAAAATGTAGAAAAAAAGTTTCCTTTTTTTCTTTTTGTACAACAAATAATCAAATAAATATTAATCTAAGCATTTGATTTTGCATAATTTTTTGGCATTGTATCAGTGCCATGCTACACAAGAAACATTTTTGAGTTCTTTCTACCTCTATTCATGGTTGTGTGTTTCCACAAACGTGCAAGACTTTATATTGCAGTGAATAATGAGTGTGTAAAGCTGCGACCAGAGCAAATAAACGCTCAAACAATGGTTGGGGTTCAGAGGGTTGAAAGTACTATTTAATAAAAAGTGCTAGACTAAAAGTGTGAAGTTCTGTGGAAATTTCACACCTAGTGTGATGAGTCATTTCTGCTGTTGCTGCATCCCGTGTGTTTAAAGAGTTATTCATGTGTTCACTGTTTATATCTTGTTGTTCTTTGCAGAAAATGTGTTTGGTTGTCATCTTGCCACATTATGTCAACAAGAGAGGACCACAGTTCCTAGGTTTGTGGAGAAATGTGTGAGAGCAGTGGAGAAAAGAGGTAATTCGTCGTATTTATTGTCAAAGCTGAGGTGTTTTTGCTGTGCGCGACGCCTCTGCTGACCCTCCGCTGCTGATGTGTCGGTTTACAGGTTTAGACATTGACGGACTCTACAGAGTCAGCGGGAACCTCGCCGTCATTCAGAAACTACGCTTCAAGGCTGACCATGGTAAATCCACTCAGTTTACAGCGAGTGTATTAAACCGAAATTTTTAGTCAATTATGTGACGTACAAGAAAGTACAGTCGTCCTCAAATGTATTCATACCCTTCCTTTAAAGGAGGAAGAAAACATGTGTCACTGAAATAAGTTGAAATTGACAAACGTAATAAATAAAAATTTAATGAAAATCATATATATATATAAACAACAAAAAAACAACCAAACAAGCATGATGGGACCCATCCATCCATCCATCATCTATACACCGCTTAATCCTCATTAGGGTCGTGGGGGGGCTGGAGCCTATCCCAGCTGACTTAGGGTGAAGGCAGGGGACACCCTGGACAGGTCGCCAGTCTATCACAGGGCTACACTTAGAGACAGACAACCAAGCACACTCACATTCACATCTACGGACAATTTAGAATCACCAATTAACCTCAACATGTTTTTGGACCTTGTGGGAGGAAGCCGGAGAACCCGGAGAGAACCCACGCTGCACGGGGAGAACATGCAAACTCCACACAGAAAGATTCCGGTGCCCCCACCGGGACGCGAACTGGCAACCTTCTTGCTGCGAGGCAACAGTGCTACCAACTGCGCCACCTTGCAGCCCATGATGGGACCCATAAACTAATATTTAGTTGAACAACCCTTTGAGCCAATCACTGCAATCAAGTGTTTTCTGTAACTCTCAGTCAGACTTCTGCACCTGTTGACAGGTGTTTTCATTTTGGCCCACTGCTCATCAGCAAAGTGCAAATTATTCTTTTTAACCACAATTCAAAAGCAATGTCTTATTTCACTAAATAATAATTTAACAACTTTTTTTTTATTTCTTATTACTTTTTTCAGTTTCTAGTTATTTGAGTGACTATTGTGAATTCTTCTATAATGGAAGGGTATGAATACATATGAGGACTGTAGATTATGGAAACAGTCATGGCAGTAGCTCCTGTTAGACAGCAGCGCCCCCTGCTGTTGTTAAATGTGCACCTGTTGTGTTTCAACAGAGGAGCTGGACTTGGAGGACGGTCAGTGGGAAGACGTTCACGTCATCACCGGAGCCTTGAAGTTGTTTTTCCGAGAACTTCCTGAGCCACTTTTCCCATACAGCCACTTTAATAAGTTCATCTCTGCCATCAGTGAGCACAATTTTGAATTCATAAATCTGATTTTGTCAGATTACATCACCCTTTAAATGGACAAGTCTTTGTTTGTTAGTTATGCATTTCTTGAATGTTGCATCTTTAACTTTTCTTCTAGGAATTCCTGATTACAACACAAAACTGTCCTGCATTTATGAGCTGGTCAGAACGCTTCCGCCTCCAAACCATGACACCATGAAGCTCCTTTTTGGGCATTTACACAGGTTTGCATCAACTTTTACTAATATTTTCTGCATGTTTTAATCAAATAGTTTGGGAAGTTGTTGAGCAATGCGTGAATTTAGTAAATTTAGGAATGAAGAAACTACATTTGCTTACTTATTGTGATCTTTTTGGTCTGTTAGATGTCTGAAATGTGACATTTAATGATAGGAAATTGGGATTTGGAGGCAATGTTGTTGTATAATGTTTGAAGATTAATCGATTAATTGAGGAAAAAAACTGGTAGAATAACTGATAATCCTTAGCTCCAGCTCTTTAAAGGTCATCACTTTGCTGCTGAATGAATTCAAATATTAAAGAAAAACAAGAAAATTGTCGCTTTTCTCATCCTTGTTTCATTTCTCTGGCAGGGTCATTCAATACGGAGAGGACAATCGCATGACCGTACAGAATGTGGCAATCGTGTTCGGCCCGACGCTGCTCCGTCCGGAGATGGAGTCTTCCAACATCGCCATGCACATGGTCTTCCAGAACCAGATAGTGGAGTTCATCCTGAACGAATACGAGCGTATCTTCCACTCTAGCTGAAGCAGTCACGAGCAGAACTGAGCGAACACGTGCTCAAGTTATTTTAAAGTGCCAGATTTACCTTTGCATGCACATCAGCAGCTTCAGTGCAACATCTAAAAGTAAACTTGTAAAATAAGTTCAAGGGGCCTTGAAGTTTAACCAGACTAGATAAAGGATCTTCAAATGGTCTTTGCTGAGGATATCTGAAGCAAGTTTAGCTACTGTTTAGTCTGGATTTTCTCCATAGGAGGCTCACACTGTTAGAATTATCTTTGGCAGTATTGTAGGATTGGAAGTGGAGCCACACGGGTGCAGACAGGTGTGGCTCGGTTTCCCTTCTCAAAGCTACTGAGCTTGTTTCTTGGGTGGCAGAAGGACTGTATTAAACTGCTCTCACTCCCTGAGACTTTAGGTGTCTAAATCTCACAGGTCACTTTCTTCAGATTTTATTATTTTATTTTATTTTCGTTTGTTTGTTTCTCTAAATTCCACTTTTAATAGAACCCAAGTCAAACCTGGGGGACTGCATTAATGCTCTTTTTAAGAAATGGCCGACGGCTGCGTCCGTCTTCATTTTAGAAAGTTTAAATGTTGTTTTGGATTTAAAGTTACAGTATATCACACGTGGCAATAACTGAGATTGTTTCTAATATTGTGTTTTCTTTTTTTCAGCCTCACTTTTACGCATAAATTTTATTGTAATATAGAATTGTATAAAAGATAAATATTAATACCAACATTTTGCTGTGAAGTAGACAATGACATAGAATACTTGTGCAACCTGTAGATTATTTTCCACTGAATTGTAAAACACCATTTTTTCAATCATGCTGTACTTGAAGAAACTGTATAATAACGACATAGAATTATAAACTAGTGATGCATTTTTTTGACAGTTGCCAGTAAAATCAGTCAGGAAACAGAAAAATTGATATTAGAAGAGATATATGACCTGTAAATAGAAATAGATGGCATATTTATGCTGAAAGTTGGTGAAAATGCACAAGTTATTCCATAATAAAAATAACTTTGTTAAAAAAAAATCTGTCCATTTATTCTTCTTGCTCATGAAAATGTGTCTTTCAGCTGCCATTGTTCACACAACTAAGATTGTTCATTAAAAGGCATGTCGTCTATTACTGGAACATACAAATGATCCACAGGAGCAGAAGAAGTGTTCGGTAATAACTCCACAAAATATAAATGCTCTGTTGCAAAAGTACTGCTGAATTCTGTTACATATTTTACAGTATTCTCAAATTATTACTGATGTTTAATTGGACTGGCGACCTGTCCAGGGTGTCCCCTGCCTTCGCCCTAAGTCAGCTGGGATAGGCGCCAGCCCCCCATGACCCTAGTGAGGATTAAGCGGTGTATAGATAATGGATGGATGGATGTTTAATTGGGGAAGTAACCTTAAAATATAGCAGCTTAGTCGAGGTAGCGGTTTCATCTTTCAAATGTTTTGTGTTTTCTAAGTTATCAACCCGCAAAAACACTTTGTATAGCAGTCAAATAAATACAGAGGGGTACAAAAAGTACATTTTTGTGTTATTATAAGTAGTCAGCAGCATAAATGGGTACAAGCATTTTTACTAATACAGTTTACTAATCTATAAATAATTTTTTATTTGTAGTTGGTGTTTTTTTGGGGGCAACATGTCATATTTAATACATTTACGTTTGTGCATTGACTCAACGCACCTTTAAATAGGACTATTGTTGTTATCCTTTTGCACATTTAAGTTGTTTACACTGCACAGAGTGGGATTTTGCACATTCCCAGGCAAATAATTCGTGCATTCCTACACAATCTGTGCAGCTGTCTCACTTATAAAACATTGTAAATACATGTATTAGTTTCGAATAGCTTTTATTTGCTACACCCTCCTCTTATTTGTTTTGTAACACTTAGTATTTAGTTGTCTTGAAACGCTTACTTTTTGATATTTTGAAAAAATCTTTCTTTGTTACTGTTTACTGTTTTTTCTTTTGAATACATATAAAATTGATTCTGTTAGATGTCTTTTTTAAATGCAGATTTTTGCGTTTATTGTCTAATATTTTCTGCACCTGTTTATCTCTTTATGTGTGTGATATATTTCATTCAATGTATTAATTCATAAGCATCAGTATTTTTATTGATTTTTACATCTGACGTGTTGTGTGACGGCCTTTGCTAAGTCTGTGTTGCCAGTCGGAACCATTTGAGAAGGTGGACGCGCTTCCGGACGCTGTCAGCTGTGAGCACCGCATCAACTGCAATGAGTTTTGAGTGGCCCTGGCAATATAATTTCCCTCCGTTTTTTACGTGAGTCTTATTTCTCGGAACTCTGTTTCACAAAAAGGTCTTTGAACATGTTTACTCGCTTTCGTTATGTGCGTGTTAATGAGCCGAAGTGGATTTGCGAGCTAGCATAATTTTAGCAAGCTAACAGGCTAAACGACAGAGATTGCTACGGAAGTGGATCTACACCTCAGCTTTCTAAAGTTTATATAACAGCTCCTCTTGGTTTATCTAGCGACTCATTAAGGCTCGACTTCGTGGGAATATATAAAGAAATGAATAGGATAATAATTTACTGTTGTGTGTTTGAATTCAAAGAATTTAGCTGTTAGCTCTTAGCTGTGTTGATGGGATGTGCTAACGGCTAACGTTAACTCTGCCTCAAGTCGCTTGACAGCAAAAACACTGACAAATTTACCTCATAGTGTTTTGTTAGCATCTCTTTTTCTTGTAGTTAATCCTCCATAGTACCAAGTTTTGATGTAAAATCAGCTGAGAAATACCAGGAAGATTTCAGTGCTGACATTCATCTAATAACAAAGATTATATTATTAAAATACAAGGGATAAAGCAAAACAGACAAAACATCAAATATATTAAATAAATAAATAAATAACCACAATACAAGCGATGCGAAACATAAGCAGACCAACATTGTGAAAATAGCTAAATAACAAAGTAAAATATACAAAATAAAATGCCTACAGTTGGGTAAAGGCCTTGTGACAAAAGAGCGTTTCCATTTCTGTTTAATAAGAAGAGACTGACAGTCTGAGATCGCTACCTTAGAGGAACAGACAGCAATCGCCTCTTTACTAGACTTTAAAAACAGGCTGTAATATCTTTAAATCATTGTGAAAACTTATAGCAAACCAGTGGAGCCCAGCAAAAAGTTGAGGAAATGTGGTCAATTGTACTGGATTAAGTTGGATTTAGCCAATGTATAGAAAGGATAAAGTCATTAACTAAACACTGATACTAAACCTTGACCGTGTGTTTTGTACTGTAGGACATTAGTTTGCACTGACAGCCGTTTCAAATGACTGGAACTGTGCAGCACATGGACTGTTTTTAAGTTTTTCTCAGAACTATTTATAATTCAGTGGTAATGACTTCCGTAAATCTGCACTAATGTGTGAAAAGTGTGTAAAAATGGGATCTTACATGCTTCAGTGGAAATGTACTGAACTTCTTTCAAAAGTGGAAAACAATATCTATCCATCTAGGTCATGGTAATCTTAGTAGAAATCAACTGGGCTTTTCTTTGTTGGATAACTGAGACTCTACACGGACATGTGTATAGTGTGTTGACTATTAAATCCTAAATGCTAGTTATTCCACACAAAATACAATTTGATGAACGAACAGGGCTCCAAAAAGGGTTGAACAACTTTGAAACGATGCATTTAGCTAATTACATTGGCTGCAGTTTAGGATAAGCAAAATTTGGCTTTTAAATTGATGAGAATAATGCAGTAATTCACTTTAACTTAATCTGAGCACATTGCAAGCATCAGGGATTGTGTATGCTTGCCCATTGATCAATAAATAATACATGGTCCAAGCAGACATGCTTTGGTTTGACTGACATGAGCCCAGTCACGTTACTCAATAGCCACACCTTGTAAATTTTGCAGCTTGTCTGACCTGGGATTTAAACTGTCATATCGATGGTTTTGCAAATTCATACTGTCATCCGTGTGTGACAGTCACCCTTTTGATGGTGTCATCACGTTTTAAATCTGTCACATAGTAAATATTGGACTGAAGCCTGACGTAAACGAGTGAATTACATACTTAAGCTGCTTGTCCTGCCCATTGCATTATAAGGACAGCCGCAATCATCTAATGCAAGTTGAAATATTGCAGTGACACCTGCCACGAATATAAGTGTAGCTATTATCTCACTGTATCAACTTAAGAAAATCAAAACTCCGAAATAAAATCAAAGAAACTACACTCCACATATCATAGCATACCAAATGTGTGAATGACAGGGTACAGACTGTACATACTCCTGACCAGGTGGAAGCCTTCCTGCCAGCTATGTCTTTATTTAGATTTGCTGACACTGTTGAAAGGCTTGAACGTTCGCAGTGCTTTACATTTTGTGCTGATGTCATTGTGGACAGGCTACAGCCAAATGTTGACACCAGACAGAAGCAGCTGGTGGCGTGGTGTTCCCTGGCTCTGTCCTACTGCCGGCATCACAAGCTCTACACCCTGGACGTCATGGAAGCTCAGGAAAGCCCCGTATTCAACAACAAGAAGATAGAACGTATCCTAAAAGTCCACGTGATTCAGTTCGCACTATACAGCGTCATCATTGTTATTTATTGCTAAACGCCTGTTTAAAATCCTTGTTATATCCCATAATGAGATTGTTAAATTTAGATTATTAGGCAATAGTTTACAGCCTCCTGTTTTATTAGGATATAAAATTTCACCTACAGGATATTAATGTTGACACGGTAGGTGTGAAAAGCTTTTCAGGACAGTGCCGCCTCTGTTGCAACATTCCACATCACTGCAGTCACCCACCTCGATTAATTCCCAGTCATTTTATTCTGAGGTTTCTGTTTATTCAAGTCTGAATCAGGTGTCAGAACATAGTCACTAATTTTCTCCTGGCTTTTTTTTTTTTGCACTGAGAAACATTGTAAACATTCTTGTGGCATGAAGACATTTATATAGTCTTTGCACATTTGTAACGTTTCCTTACTTTTTTATTTGGCCTTAATTGAATTATAGGAAAATTATCAATGGAAGCAATTCAAGTTGTGTTTGAAGAACTGAGGAAAAAAGGTAAAATTCTCTTCAGTCCGCATGTTTACGCAATGCTGTTCAACAGTATTCCACAGTGATTAACATTTTTGTTATCGCTGTTGTGTCTGACGTCAGGGAACCTCGAGTGGTTGGACAAAAACAAATCTCGGTGTTTGGTCATGTGGAGACGACCAGAGGAATGGGGCAAGTTAATATACCAGTGGGTGAGTCGTCAAACTGAAGCACTTATACTCTCACAAACTGCACATTTTCGTTTATTTATGTGGTCGAAAAAGGATGAGTGGAAAGAAGAAAGTGATGTTTATAGCGCTTATTATAAAGAGTTAAATTTGAAAGTGTTGTACATTGCTGCTGAACAGAGACTTCAGACAGAAAAAGTATCATTGTGGGAACAGAACAGCAGGATTAAAGGACAGATGACTGGAAATGCTGCATCCTGAACTCAAAGTAATACTAATTCATAGTCTGACTGAAACAGACACAAAGTAGCCTCGTCAGCTTCCACCTCTGAACACTTCACTTTCAATTCAGACACATTTATGCTTAAGTAAAGAACTTTATTATTGTATCACTGGTAGTATTAAATTAATGTTACCAAAGTAAGGTCAGAGGAGTGGAAGAAAAAAAGCTCTTTCTTTTTTTAAGTCATGTTTTTGGTCACACATGTAGTTTGGCTTGTCTTGATTTTGGTTTCAACCACTAAAAGAGAAAAATGTGCAGTACAGCAACAGCATTCAGATCAAGTCAGACTGTCAAGGCAAAACACAGATCATGAAAAAGCGAAGACGACAAATAAAAAAAAATAATCCCACCACACTAAGAAATCTACAAAGCACCAACATCATGTAATCGATCTTCCCTCCCACACACTCTGTAAGTAGCCCACACATAGCTTGCAATTGCACCTAATACCTCTATCCATTCTTTAAAAGTAGATCAGATAGAAGATTTCCAGTGGCCTAGAGTTATCCTACACCCTGTTATTATAGCTAAGCAGCAACATATTCTGGTGTTTTGACATTTCAACATTGTCTGGTCAAGGAGAAATATTGCATATTCAAAACAAATATTTGAAATTATTTCATCTCATATGTTGCTGATTTTGTAACAGTCACATTACATCAACTTCAGAGACTTTACTGTTACATCTCCAAAGATTATTACTGCTTTTAAGTTTAAGTTTTTGGAACGACTCCAGCAGGATCTGCGTATTATCTCATTTAAAAAAAATCAAGTGTGACTAAGTTTTGCGGGCATGACAGTACCATGGTGCAATTCCGATTATCTTATGAGACCTCCTGATCCAGGCTCCATCCGTTCCCAGAGTATTTTTACACCACCCAATGTTGGACATTTTATGACTCTTATATTGTAGAATCTTGCCTTCCAGTGTCTTGATTTGTAGAAATCTCTGGTATTCTGAGTTACTCAAACCATATTTATCTTGAATTTCATCAAAGCATGCATTTCCCACCACATCCCCCATAGTATGAATACCAGACGTGATCCATTTATTTAAAACAACAACAACATACTTCTTAACAGTTCCTTTTTATGCCATATGTTGGATCTGTTTGAGAAGTCTGGGTCGGATTTTGTTATTTGATGTACCTTCCTCTAAGATTCTCTGGCAAATGCTCGTAATGGCTCTAGAGGAAGAACTAGGCTGTATGTTTGTGTAAGAAAAGCCTCCACTAAAGGAGGATACACTAACAGCTCTTCTATTCCTCCCACAGAGGGATCATAGTGGGGGGTGAATGGATTTTAGCCACTGACCTGCTTTCTGTAATCACTGAATGTTTGATAACCTGATTTCTCAGTGTTACCTGGTCTCTGTGCCCACATAAATGTTAAGGTCCAGGTTTTTTTTTTGCACTCCAAGAAGTTGACGTTTCCAGGATTACAGTCCCATTTTATAGGAAAAAAAAAGCTCACTTTATGTAAAAAAATACCCTTAGAAAGGAGCAGATGTATAATTAAATTCAAATGAGCACCTTTAAAACATGACAGATGGTGTAGATGAGAGGTGCTGGAGCACATCTGTAAATGCTCTGAGAGTACGTCACAACTCAATAAACAATATAAAAACTACAGCCCAAGAACATGCGCTTTAAATCACAGGAAGAGGCTGCATAGCTTTTGCACATCTCATACCACATAATGCTCTCCTCTGTACAACTGATCACAGACTAACTACCACAATAAAAGTCTGATTTTGTGTCCTCTCAGGCCATGTTGTGTTTCATAAACAGATTTAATTGTGTTTAAAGAAGGAAAAAAAGTGCACTGAATAGATACACGTGGGGGATGTTCTCTTTTTTTGTCAGCAAATCTCATTTGCTGTCGGTATTATGTAGCTTATTCCTCATATATTCCTAACAAGGCAGACAGACGGTATTGTGCAAACTACATTGTTTGTTTTGATCTTTTCATACAATTTATTGACAGCATCAAAAACACATAATGCAGCCTTATAATGTAGCAGTTATAACTGTGAAAGGAATAAACCAAAAGGCTGCGCTCACCTCACTGAGTCTAAGAGTGGTGTTTAATGAACCGTCAAGTTTGTCAAAGGCTTTATTAAATTCTCTGTTTATAACTGTACACTCTGGATCTCATCCTCTAGGAAAAAACTAAAATTAAAATACTTTTTCCCCAAAGTTTTTCTTTAAAAAAATGAGTTGTTTAAAGAGTGTTGAGTTTTTTTCTTTTCCTGCCAGATGAAAACACTAGATGTATTTTTCCAGTGAACAATATTCTCTTTTCTAACATTTTAGGTTTCCAAAAACGGCATGGTCAACTCTGTGTTTACGCTTTATGAGCTGTCCAATGGTGATGACACAGAAGGAGAAGGTACGGTGCCATTTAGGTTTTGTGTTATTGGCCCATTTAATAATGTATTTAGTTGTATTAAATGTTGGTAGGTGATGCCTGTCAGGCTAAAAGTTTGCAGTTGTATTAGAAAATGTTGGATATTCATAAATATGGTGTGCATTACAGGTAAGTTAAAGTACTTTTCTTGTTTTTCCCCGTGAATGTGTCCATTTAGAAAGCATTGTATTTGATATCTGTGCGTAAGGAGGAGGCAAAATAATGTTGACTTTCATTACAGGTGAAACCTGATGCTCTCTGTAATTATCTAAAATAGTTTATCAGATAATGCAGAAAAAGGAGTTTTGTTAATCCTGCTTTTATTTTATTCAGTTCCAGTATGTCCTATCTGTTGCATATGTTTATTTCTGTTTTTTAATCTTGTGTTATTGCAGTATGTTGAAAGTTGAGTAAAAAGAATGCACAATGATAACAGCATGATCATTGATATTGGCTTTAAATAATTCAATATTGGCATTGACAGGCAGATATATAATGCCCGTCAGGTTAAACACTTACAGTTTTGTCTGAAAATGTTACAAAAATATTATTGACTGTTTTAAATGTAAGTTAAAGTCGTGTTTTATTTTGTACTTATGAAAACGTATTTTTCGTCTGCACCTGCAGGACCATCATGATGAGAAAGGTCATAATAACTTGTCAAATCCACTACAGGAGAGACCTACGTTTTGTTAATTAAGAGACTAAGAGAAAAGAAAAAAAACATGTGTGTTTTATTTTGCCCGAATAAGTTGAAAATTCTCGACCTGTCAGTCAACTGCAAAAATCCGACGTCATACATTCCTAATTTTAAGTAACTGAAAAGTCCTGAAATGTTTCTGTCATTTCAGTTTCATGCATGTGAAGCACTGTGTAATGTAATTAAAGATGCTGTGCACTGATCAGCCAAAATACTACGACCAGCCCAGACTAATGTGCTGTTAAGTGCCAAACAAAACAGCTCCGACCCACAGAGGCATGGACTGTACACAACTTTTGAAGTAGTATTTGGTCTTTCTGCTGCAGACTTGGGCGCAGCTTACAAGCCTTACTGTTTTAAAAAGTAGGTCATTCCATGTCAAATCATCAGGGGCCTTCTGCTCGACCATCTCCGATTTGCTTGAAACTTTTTTTTTTTTTTATCATAAGCTTTGAGTATTTATAATACTATCTGTGGAATTTTAAATCAATATATTAAATACTTTTAGCAATTTTTAAATGTTTTTGCACTTGAAATTTGAGGCTATATTTGAACCGCAATATCTCAGAAACTAATAAAGATAAACGCCTAAAATTAAAAAGAATTTTAATTCCTACTTATATGTTTAAAACTATTTTGAAACTCCAGAACTCTGTTCTTCTTGGATCAGGCTGTTTACCAGTATTTTTGTTTTTGTGATGCAACTTGTCATACCCTCTCAATCAGTTATAAAAGTTAAACAAAAATATGTATGAAGTGTTTTATGTGTTTTGTTTTGTAATATTGTGACATGCAGCTACATATAGTTCAGAAAATATCAGTAGTTGACTTCTGCGTTGTCAATTTTTTTGTTATTGTGGACTCAAAAGTGGGACTTTTCATGACAGCTTTCTTTTTTTTCATATTTCAATTCACCTGTGATCAGACTATTTGATCTACTTGTCCAGTGATCGATGTCATGATGAGAAATATCAATGAAAATTGAAACTTTTATCTTTAATTGTTCCTGAGATATTGTCTTTCAAACTTAGCCTCAAAGTAGATTTTTAAAAAGATTTATCACGCTAAAATTTCAGAAGTATCTTTATAAAGATACATATTTTACACTGTTTTTTTAGGCAAATCAGAGATGGATGAGCAGAAATTGGTGATGATTTAAAATGGAATGACTGATGTACGCCAGCCTATTCATCTAGACATAGAAATAAATTCTCCTGTATCCAGCACGTTAAACGGGAGAACCAACCTGTACTTTGTCCATCTAATATATAGTAGATCCTCACATGTGCATTTGTTGTAGGATAATCGCTGTTATTACCTTCTTCTAGTAGTAGTTCTGCTGTTTTGCCTCATGGTCATATACAGTAAATAAAGTTGTTTTTTTTTCTCACTGTGCATTCTCACATAGCTCTGTAACCCTTTTCTCCAGAGTTCCACGGCCTAGAAGAGTGGATGCTGCTGCGCTCCTTGCAGGCTTTACAGACCGATGGCAAAGCAGAGATCATCACCATGGATGATGGGAAAGGTGTCAAATTCTTCTGAAACGGTGCTGGAATCACACACACTCTGTCTGGGAGCCCTCATACTGTACCTTTAACTGGCAGATTTTAAAGTTTAGCCATTTAAGGCTACACAAGGTGCACCTCAATGCCCAGCTGATGGATGCTGGTCCTGTTATTGTTGTTGCCTTTTGGTTCAAAGCCATTGGAAGAGAACCAATATCATATCTTAAGTGTTTGGGGGAAACAAGGATTTGAGGTGACGCTGCGTTTAGACTCGTCACAGGTGACATTTGTTACCACTTAAACATGCAATGAGTCTATCAGGGGACTAAATACTACTATGTCTGAATATGTCAGAGGAACATCTTTCCCTGCCAGCTGTAACTTTACTCCTCTGTTGTAAATGCAACTAGTTTTATTCCCGTTTTCTCTGTTAACAAATCTACTCTGTATAATTAGCTGTGGACCTTTGCTCGGCTGTTGTTCCTCTGTTCCTCCAAGCAGACATCCCAAAGAAATCCCAGAAAACACAACACCAGGGGGACTTTTTTTTTTTATTATTATTGTGGGAAGGAATACTTCCAGAAGAGGAACACCACAGAGACTCCAGCCAGTCCTGGCTCCAATCAGCTGAGTGTAATAATAGTGGACTCCATGTACAGTTTGCTGTCATCATATTCTTGTGCAGTAGCTACTGTGACGCTCCTGTTATCTGTCACTCTGTCTATATTCAACCTCTTTTTTTTCATATCCTGTAGGAAAATAAATTAGACATTTCTTAAATCTGCTTTTTTTCCCATTTCTTCTTTTCTCTAATAATGTAGTCTTGAATCCTGTTGAATGACAGAAATGTGCAGAATCAAAGCCCAGTGATGGAGATGTTATGATCTACTTTGCGGCTGCACTCTGGATGGTACAGTCACATCATGTGCTTCGTGTTCCGTCCTGAGGAGATGATACAGCTCCGGGGAATCATGTGCGTGTTTGCTGATAAAAGCCTTCGTCTGCGCTCCGGGGACAGGTGGGGCCCTATGTGGCCTTGGCTGATAGTGGTGTCCTGTTTCAGCAGCAGCAGCAGCTCTATGCAGTGCAGCCCCCCCTGCAGGAGAAACCAGCACACTTACCCCCCTGGGCTTCATATCTCTTTCATTCAGCTTAATCAAGTGACGACAGATAGTAGTGAAGTGACTCATCATTTATATCTTAATTCACAGAAACGGGAGGAGTTGTTCTAATCAATAAATTCAAGACAGAACATCCTGTTCTTCTTCTTCTTCTAAGTAAACAGTGGATAGATTGTGGCACCTGTTCCCCAAATCAATACAAGGAAATTCCTAAAAGATTAGTCTATTGATCCCTTTTTATTGGGAACTTTTCATTCTTTCACATTGACGCCGCTCACAATGGGACCCCTAATTTAGATTTTAAAGATATTCCAATTATGTTGCCGCAATAAATCAAAAGTGAAAAGAAAAACAGCCCTAATGAAATTTGTGGTTTTAAAGCGTATTAGTCAGCAAACATTCCTCTAATCAGAATTTAATTACTCCCTCCGGATGTTCCTCTTCTCGCGTCAAAGCGGCGAAGGGGGCGGAGTTGGAGAGCGCGCACAGAGAGCGCACAGGACGCGCAGCCCTCCTCAGCTTTTGTTGATATTGGCAACTCCGTCCTTTCACGGGAGGTTATGGCTGCAGTCTGTGAAAAGAGAAGAGGAGAGAACAACGCGGATTATCTGACAGAAATGATGCGTTAAAGTGCGCGGCGCAGTTTGTTTGGAATATTTTTACGCAGCGACTGTGATGAGTAAGTCCGTTTTCCTCACTTTTCCTTGTTTATTTAATTGAAATATACATCTACGGTTGGTTATAATTGCAGGTAGTGGCATCTCACGTGTTCTAGAGAGACATGTTTAATCTTGTCTTAGCTTTTATTTTGTGGTCACTGCCTCTGGTTGCATTGACATCACGGAAAAGTAACTTGGAGCTTCAAGTAACGGTACTCTATTGTCCTAATGTCATTTCCACATTTAGGCTCTAAATTAGGAAGGCACTGAACCTGCCGCAATGTCTCATGCACAAGTTGAAATACCCGGACGCGGTTTCCCAGGCCTGTCCATGGATATGACCGACGACTGCTTATCCCGGGTCCCATCCGTGCTCAGGACGCACGGTTTGGGCGCACGGAGAAACTCTTACGGGCTCCAGAAAATTAGTATGGACATTGACTCGCCTCTGTACAGCGGCGCCCTCTCCAAAGCCTTGTCCTGGTCAGCTGAAAATATTCTAACACTGGCCGAGTCCAGAGCAGAGGACGAGAAGACGGACGACACCTCGCCGTCGCCCGTTTCCAGCCCGGGGACCAGCTCCAACACGCCCCCGCGCAGCCAGGAGCCCGACGTTGAGAACTGGGATCCCGTTCCGAGACCCAGCGCTCAGGACGCCAGCTCGGACTCTGAAAATGAGCTTCACAGCAAACAGCACAAGACCTTGTCCCGCATCACGTTTGACACTCAGTGGGAGCAGGAGGAGAAGGAGGACGTGGAGACCAAAGCGGTGGCAACGTCTCCAGATGGAAGATACCTCAAATTCAACATTGAGATTGGAAGGGGATCTTTCAAGACGGTCTATAAAGGACTGGACACGGAGACCACGGTGGAGGTGGCGTGGTGTGAGCTTCAGGTAGGATGGCTTTTAAGTCACTGTAAACCAAATAAGTGCCAATTTGGATTTTAAAAAAATCTGCACACATTTAACTTTTGTCATTTTGGCTGTAAATTTGCTGATAAAAACAACTATAAATTAATATTAAGAAGTTAAATTCAATATTCCGTACACCTCCATATCAAAGCTGCATTGGTTCTTGCCAAAGTTTACAACAGATATCCTTTTCTAACCTCCAGCAGCAAACCCAGGTCAAGCACATACGCTGATACTTTCCCCTGCTTCCCTGCCCCACTCTGCTCTAATTCCCCTGCCAGTTCATCAGGGTTGATGTGAAGCAGCTAATCTACTACATATTATTCCTCCCTGACCTTGAGTTGGGTTATGTCAAGCCTTTGCATGGTAACCTAGGTCATCCTGTTAGCAGTCAGCTCCAACTGAACCACTGTGCCTGCCGTGATCCCCTCTAATCTCTGTTTTCATTACCAACCGGTGACACCAAGGCTCTCTGGGTGTCTCACGTGCAAAACCAACGACAACTGAGAGGCGACAGGTCATTTATATGTGGCTCTGATCACCCATCATCACTATTTGTGTGTGAGAATAGACACTTTAGTGCTCTGAAGTGTTTCCATCCCATGGGATCGTGTTCATCTGGGCGACCTGGCCTTTTGCAGGGAGTTTATGCTCACGTGTAACATGTAAACATCAAGTGAGACAACAACTGAAGAGGTTGGCTGCTGTAAAATTGTGCAGGTGTCAGTACTTTTCTACACCGCAGCGTTTGGCATGCAGGCAGCAAGCAGCTTGGGCAGCAGCTGCTGCTTGTCTTGCTTACATGGTTTGATAGCACAGTGGTGGATTTAAAGATTTAAGCTCTAAGTCCACCCCTTAACATTTGCTGTTGCGTGTGACGTGCATTGGTATCGGTATCCGGCAACCACATGAGCCTTCTTAGGTGTGAAGATGTGCCCTGATAACCTCTAAATGTCAAATTAAACCCTGTGCCAGTGACACTGAACTACATACTAGCAGCAGGACAGTGATTTCTCTCAGGATCAGTGCAATTTTTATACTGGAAGTTGTTTTAAAGTTACAGCTGCACACAAAAGCACACTTTGCTCAATAAGAAACGCAGTCTTCGTGTTGCATTTAAGCTGCGCAGAAGGTGCCGGTGTACAGACATTCAGGGATTATTCGGAGCTGGAGTGAATCTGCCCTCGAGGCTCAAGCTTCAGCACCAGCAGGTGGGGACTCCTGCCTCAAGAGCCCACCTGTCAGATCACACAACAGGTGTCTGTTTGGAGGAGGTAGATGCCGAGTCACTCCCAGGCTTCTGTGGGAGGCACAGATGTCCCTTTTACCTGCACTGTCACAACACAGTCATTGATATTTTGCACCCTTGAGTCAAATACAAGCTGGAGGGGTTGGGAGGGGGGGGGTCTGTCACTATTTGTGGTTTGACTTTTAAATCACACCCTAAGATTTCAGCTAAAGTGGAGTGAAAAGACATTTTTGCTCCGTGGCTGTGGGCCATATTGGAAACAAGCATGCCATTTCATCTCTTTACTTGAGACATGATCCCAGTTAAGCTCCTTAATCGCTCCTAATAAGCTTAAAGGTGGCCATTGTTGATATGGTTACTGTTGTGATAAGTTAACCTCAAAGAGACGGGACTCAGCTGCGGTTTCTTAACTGAAATCGCCGCCCAGTCCTCCCCCCCTCCCGACGCTTAAGCGAAACGTCAAAAGCAGGCTGTTGGTGGCTAAACACAATCGCTCCTGTAATGTTGACGGAGCAGCAGATGAAGGTGCGTCATTACAAGTCAGATAGAAATGCCTTAAGCTCTTTTAACTATGTATTACAGAGCGTGAGCAGTAATCTGCAGGCCTTTAAGATCAGCTGTTCAGGATGTGGAGAGGCTTTAAACAATGTCTACTTCAGCCGATTCCCACTTTTGCACATCGTGATTGAATAAATCACAATCGAAACACGCAAAAGGTATTAACCTGTGTGCAGTTTTGTTGTTACGCTGAATGCAGGCCTGTGTGGGCGGTGTCCACAGGAACTTTTTGTCCTCGCACACAAAAAAGTAAACAAAACATTTAGATTCTTCCATGACACGCAACGCCGAAAGCTTGGCCGGGACAGTGGAACATATATTGGAAAGGGCTTTGCGTCACTGCTCGTAAACCTAATTCCTTACATTAAGAGAGCGCTACCACAATAGAAACAGAACCACTCTCTGGAATCTTGTATTATACATATGGAGCCCGCATGACTCCAAAGAGCAATAAACCGTATAAAATAACACATACATAACTTATCTGACACTTGAAGAAGAGCTGATGATATTTGCTCAGGAAAATTGCAGTGTCTTTTGTTTTAAACATGTAAGATTTCAATAAATGTCATTAAAACACAACTCCTATATTGACATTAGCAGCAACATCAGCCATTTTTAGCTCATTACAGACCTATTGGTAGCATTGTATATGTCAGCTAATTAAACAAAAATAAAAACAAGTAAGACCAGTAGAGAAATGTATAAGACATGTTTTTAAGCAGTGATTTTACACTTTGTTCACCAGGAAGTAAACTATCCTGCTTCATATTGGTAGCATGTGATTAATAGCCACATTTAGGGGGATAATTAACAAACATATTCGCTTATTTTTCTATATTAAAGAACTCTGGACAAGATGTTATCAGACTCAAATAACCCAATCAATGCTGGACAGTCTTCAAAACATCAAGAAGCAGTCAGGCTTTATTGATCATTATTTTGTGATCTTTGATTTCAAACAATCTCATCATTTTTGTTTAGTTTTGTTTGGGATCATAACCAAATGATCAGACTCTGCTCATTTGTATACCTCTGCTTCCCCTATTGTACTCAATCCACAGGCACAACAACACCAGCTACAATCTAAAATCAGAAGAAGATGTCGAAAATATGAGCAATCAAGCAGACAAATCTGCTGGCACTCAATGCAATTTGTTTAATTATCTTGAGAGCTGACTTTCTGCTGCACCTGCTGCACCTTTCACAGTTTAAAATAACACAATGTAGCCCTGCAGCACAGTCCAAATGCAAAACCCATGTATTTCTCAGTTTGCTACCACTTTTATTTTGTGTTTGAAAAGTTGATTTAATAACTAGAGCTGCAATCAATTCATCGATTTATTGTTTGCTTCAGAAAATGGTGAAAAATGTTGCTCAGTGTTTCCCAGAGCTCTAGATGACATACTTAAATGTCTTTTATCCAAAGATCTTCAGTTTACTGCCATAGAGGAGTAAAAAAAAGACAAATAATTTTCAAATTTAAGGAGCTGGAATGAGAGGATTTAGACCTTCATTCTGAAAAAAATAACTTAAATTGATGAATTGGTTGTCAAAATAGTTGGCGGATATTTTAAAAGTTGGCAACAAGGTGGTGATACTTGAATTTTTATGCATATCAGTTATAAAATGTTCTTCATTCGGTGGTGTTCTCGTAAAATATTAGTTTTTTCTTACCTTTGCTTATTCAATTCAATTCAATTTTATTTGTATAGCGCATATTTGCAACAACAAGTCATCTCATAGCACTTCACAAAGGCAGAGACAGAAACACCCAATAATCCAAAACATTTGGATTCCCTATAAGCTTCAGCAGTCCGCAACAGTGGGAAGGAACCGAAAACTCCCACAGGGGAAAAAAAACCTCCGACAGAACCAGGCTCAGGGAGGGACGGCCATCTGCCTCGACCGGTTGGGTGTGCATTATGTCCTTGACTTTCTATGATTAGTTTGACTTCTGAGCTGCTGCACAACTATAGTAAATTGCATATAGATAAAGAAAGTAGTGAAATGAAATAAATTGGCAAGTCAGTGTAATTGTCAGACTAACGGCATTATGCATTAATTTCGAAATTCCTTCCTGTTTAGTGTTGTGTAAATTGAAGGAGAACTTAGGAGCTTTTAGGACATGCTGTTGTAAGTTTAGAGCTGCCTGGTACTGCTGCTAAAAGGACAGGTGGCAGCTCCCTAGCAACCCTTCCCCCACAGGCACACAGGTGATTCAGGTGCCATATAGGTGATGTAGACTGAGCTTTGAAGGAAATGCAGCGCTAATAAAAAATGAATGAGCTTTTCTATGGCCCCCTCCCACTTCCATTCATCCACACTGTTCTCACTGTACAGCACAGAGGCAGACGGAAGGGTTTACTATATCTCCGCTGCTGTTGTCCGCTTGCCCAAATCTTAAATATAAAACACTGATCATCAGCTACTGCATGAAATACTGATCATTGAGCATCTAAACCCACACACCTGACTATGAAAGCGATGGCACGGCGAGCTGCTGAGTTCCTGATAGGAGCGAGTGCACTGAGGCACACGTCCTTTTTGGTGAGCCCCTTTAAAGGGCATCCGTTGCACAATACCTGATCTTATTGAAGGGCAGCAGTTTCCAGCACTTCCCTCCAGCCAGTCTGCATTAGACCCTTGTATAATCTCGCGTTTTTTTAAAAACCAACACACACTCTTTTTTTCTTTTAACACGCCCCACATAGCAGCTCCATGCTCGACTTCACCACACCTGTATTTTCAGCGCTATCAGTGTTTATGAGGGTTGAATGATGCAAGATTGGCTTGAGTGCATTTAAAAATACTGCAGCGTGCTCACAGCCAATTAACCAATTCTTTAACGGCATGAATACAGGCTTACAGACAGCTTTCTGCTGATTGTGACATACCGAGTTGTAAAAAGTATCTGTGGTTTTTGTTGACGGTCGCAAACTGTTTTAAGAGGACTTTTTGGCTGATGCTTTTTTGTGGTAACTGACTCCTGAAACGCGTAAAACTTTATACTGATGCTGCACGTAGTGTGGGCTATTATTAATCAGTTGTTTACTGGTGCTTGCCCCATTATAAATGGGTGGTTGGGGTGCAGAGGTGGTCGGCGCATTGCTTTTAAGTGCAGAGTACCAATGTAAAGGTGTCAAAGGATACAATGCAAACAAGATTTGGTATT